CAGACAGGCCCTCACACACGTGTGCACCGACCAGCCCTGGCAGACAGACCCTCACACACGTGTGCACCGACCAGCAGATGTTCACTTTCTGGCTCAGTAAGTTTCACTTTTTCAGTCCCTTGAGAGGTAAACGTGAAGTATGAACGTCACATGACTTACCCTCACTGGAATCAGAACACTAAAGCCATTATCACAGGCTACAGAGTCATGGGGACACAGCCTAGCGGCAGAACGCTTGCCTGTCATGCGTGATGCCCTGGTTCTTTCTCTTCCAGCATGGAAACGCTCAGAGGAAGGAGGAAGGAGGCAAAGAAGGCTGAGGAGCTGGAGGAAGACACCTGGAAACCCAGACCTTGGGAGCAGTCAGGGAAGGCCCCTCAGGTTCCAGGCAGCCTGGGTCCACGTTAGGAGTCTGTCTCAAAACTCCCAAAACCAAACCAAGCAACTGACTAAATGACAACAACAAGCCCATAAAATCACGAACACCGGTTTTTCTGAAGAAAACCCACAGGGGAGTTGTGCAGGCCCTGGCTCGGGGGAGGGGGCAGGGACCCACCCTGCAGCACCAAGCCAGTGCTGCCACCTTCTGGTCTTACTGACCGACGTGGCATGCGACACTTCTTGTCTCCACAGCACTTTTGTCAAGCTTGTGGGGACTAAGTCCACACTGGGGATTTAGTGGTAGCCCTAGGTTCCTGCCCAGAGGCCTCTGGCAGAAGCACGACAGCACACAATAGTCTGTCTCTCACTGTCTCCTTGCATGTGTCCTTGTCTCAACAACTGACTCAAACCAAACCAAGGCACCTGTGACACTGCAGTGCCTCTTCCAACAGACCCTCAGGGGCAGGGGCAGGGACAGACACCCCCGCTGGCTCCCCTTCTAGGCATTTCAAGAGTTGGCTTGCTCTCTTCGGCCAGAGCCTGCCCGGGCACGCCCCGTCAACCTGCTGGCTACTTCTCCCCTGTCTGAATCCTGTCACTGCTCTGTACAAACACCCACCAGCTTCCCAGGCACTGTGGCCCCGGCCTGCCTCCACCTTGAACATTGCTCCTGAGTCTGAACCCTAGCTCCTAGGCGCCGGGGTACAGAGGTAGGTTCTCGTCTTCCCTGCTGCCATCTCTCCGCATACAGCGCAGTGGCCTTTCCTCGCCACTCATCCACTGGACAGGTGAGTCCGACCACACCCGCTCCTGCCCTCCTGCCTCACCATGTCCGCCTTCCCAGGCAGGGCCCTGGAGCGTACTCAGGGAGTTGATTGATCCAAGGTGCTCTTCGTTCTGTGAGGGCAGGCGTGTCTAGGTGTGACAGGCTCAACCTGGAGCATGGGGAGCCGCCAGCACATAGCATGCCTTCAGAAAGATTCTGAAATGAATGAGGACATTTCCTCCAGTCCTGTGACCTTGTGACTAACCAATCAAAAAAAATTTATTTTTTAAAAAGTAATTTCTTATTTTTAAATTTTACGTACATTGGTATTTGGCCTGCATGTATGTTCAAGTGAGGGTGTCAGATCCCATGGAACAGGGGTTATGGAGGTCTGAGCCGACATGTGGGTGCTGGGAATTGAACCTGGGTCCTCTGGAAGGGCAGCCAGTGCTCTTAACTGCTGAGCCATCTCTCCAGCCCTCGAAGAAAAAGATTTTCTTTGCAGTAAGTGATAACATACATGATAAAGTTAGTTCCTAGTCATCAGCTTGTTTCACTTCATAAGAGAAAAATCATTTCATCAGCTCTGCTTACAGGATGGACCAACATGTGAGACCCAACAACAGAAGGACAGGGCCTCGAGGAGCAGGGCTGTGCCATGCAGCCCTCTCCTCACAACTACTCCAAGGCCAAGACAGCTCTGGGCCACACCCGTGCCCTGGGCCACGGAAGGCTGCGTTAGACTGGCAGAGCTGGCATGGTGCCATGCAAGGTTTCTTGCTTCCAGAGAAAGGGATGCCACCCGAAACGACAGGGCCCACACTCCCTGGCATCTGAAGGGACAGCTGAGCGCACTGTGCTGAGTCTAAGCAAATCTATTCCCCAGCCTTTTCCAGCTAAAGCCCCTCTTGAAACTCCTTTGGTGACTTTGGTACCACTGAAAAGGTGTCATTTCCTGGACATCACGGTTGTTCAGTTGTTTTTGGTGTTTGTTGTTAACGTTTTGAGCCAGGGTCTCATTTTGTAACTCACGTTTGCCTTGAACTCATGGTGATCCTCCTGCCCCAGCCTACCAAGTATTAAGATTGCCAGCTTTAGCCAGGCAAGGTGGCGCAAAACTGTAATCCCAGTACTTGGGGAGGCAGAGGCAGGCGGATCTCTGAGTTCAAGGCCAGCCTGGTCTACAAAGTGAGTCCAGGACAGCCAAGGCTCCACAGAGAAACACTGTCTCAAAAAAACAAAACAAACAAACAAAACAGATTACCAGCTTCACCGTATCTGGTATAATTAATCTTTTCTTGACCACATATTTCAGTTCCTGGCTGTCTTGGAAGTCAAGCCAACTCACAAAGGACAAAGTTCTTGGTCCCTAAGGATTCTAAAAGTCCTCTGAGGGCAATTTCCCAACAGATAACAAGAACATTCTGAGTCACAGCAGCACCCTGAGGGTTGTTCTGCACAGGTAGTGAGCAACAACAGAGCAGATTTCACATCCAGGTCAAAGGTGGCAGGTGCTTGTACACTTTGAGCTGTGAGTCTAGCCTCTTCTGCTGGCATACTCAGGTAGACTGAGTTGGTATGAGTGGCCACACATGTTGGTGAGGTTAGGACAGTCATGTTACATGAGCCCTTTCAGTGGCCCTTGGTGGGATCCTGCCCTGTCCTGGGCAACCTGAGGCTGTGCCTTGGGCAGGCTGCACAGCAACAGGGTCCTGCTTCACCCATACAGGCCTAGAAGAGGTTCTGTCTTGAGAATTGCTCTCCTCAGTGCCCAGAGAAGAACCAGGCAGCTCCGTCCAGGCAGCTCTTGTTAAGAGACTTGGTATTGCTGGGCAGTACTCGGGAGGCAGAGGCAGGCAGATCCCTGTAAGTTCAAGGCCAGCCTGGTCTACAGAGCAAGTTCCAGGGCAGCCAAGGCTACTAGAGAAACCCTGTCTTGAAAAACCAAAGAGAGACTTGGTATTGACAGTGATTGAAAAGGAACAGATTTTTTTTTCTT